GATGTGAGGCCACAGATTGTCACGGGATTTGTGCCGGAAGAGGAAGGAAGAGCCGGGATCCAGGCCCCGACTCGTGCTGGTGCCAAGTTTCGTTTCTTCTCCGGGTTTCTCCCGGTTTCGATTCCCGAGGGCCCCTGAGGGATTCCTCGGGATGGGAACCCAGCAGGAACAGCGGCCCGTGGTGGGGCCCTGCTGCTCGGAATTCCAAGGGTTGCAAGGATTTCTAGGAAAACACTTTTGGTGTGGGGCTGGATGGGGCTTGGGGCCACCTGGGATGGGGAAGGTGTCCCTGGTGTCCCTAAATGGGATTTAAGGAATGGGTTGGGATGGGAGGGGTTGAAATCTCATCTCATTCCCATGGGCAGGGACATCTCCCTCTATCCGAGGTGGCTCCAAACCCTGTCCAACCTGGCCTTGGACATTTCCAGGAATGGGGCAGCCACAGCAAATCTGGGAATTCCATTCCAGGATCATCCCACCCTGAGAGGGAGGAATTTTTTTCCCCATCTCCCACCTATCCCTGCAGTTCAAAAGTCACTTTTTTGGCGCAGGAATGAGCACAGGGAGGGGACATTCCCAGTGTGGGACCCTTCAGCTCCATCACATCCCAAAAAACAGAGAAACAGGGACCATGGTGGGGGTGGTGGGGGTGGTGGGACACCATTCCTTGGGATAAGGGATGGATGTGACCCCCCTCCAAGCCTGCATCTGATTCCTGGAATTCCAGGCACTTCCCTGGCTCCTGGCAGGAGATGAACGAGGCTCATCCCAAAGGGATCCCCCACGAGCCACCCCCACCCCTCATTCCAGACCTCACCCCCTGTCCCCAGAATTCCCGTCCTTTCCCATCCCTGGAGAACCACGGCGGTACCTGGCGGTGGTGGCGGCTCCGGCAGTGCCACCTCGGGAGCGGTGGCATCGGGAAGCCGCCTGTCCCCGCGCTCAGGGACGTCCCTTTATGGGCTGGGGGAGGAGGGTGAGGAGCCCCAAACCGCAGAACTTCCCCTTCGGTGTCCCTGCTCTCATTTTTGGGAAGTGGTGACGGCGGCAGCTTTTCCCTAATTCCGTGTTTTTGGGGCCAGGGTGGGTTTGGAGCACGCCAAGGTCTCCGGGTTTAGGGTCCTGCTGGTGGGGCTGGGGCAGGGTTGGTGTTGTTCCCTGTGGGAACGGTTTGGGATTTGTGCTGATAACTCGGGAATGTTTTTTGTTGTGGCTTGGATGGAATCGAGGGCGGCTCTGCTCTCACCCTGCCGGGAAGGGGTTGGGGTTGTAACGGGAATTGGGGGTGACACGGCTGGGAAAACCAATCCCAACCCACCCCCAGGATATCCTGGATCGTGGGGCTCCAGGATAAATGGGAAAAGAAGGAAAGGGGAATGTTGGGAGTGATGGTGTTTGTCCTCCTGGATCACCAAAATGGATCCTGGTTGTCCTGGGAATGCTGAACGCTCCAAGAGCTGGAGCACCTCAGCTCTGGGAGAGCTGGGAATGTTCTCCTGGAGAAGGGAAAATCCAGGGAATGCTCAGAGTCCCTGGAGGGGCTCCAGGAGAGCTGGAGAGGGACTGGGGACAAGGGACAGAGGGACAGGAGCCAGGGAATGGCTCCCACTGGGAAAGGGGAGCTTGGGCTGGGATCTTGGCAAGGAATTCCTGGCTGGGCTGGAATTCCCAGATTTGCTGTGGCTGCCCCTGGATCCCTGGCAGTGCCCAAGGCCAGGTTGGACATCGGGGTTGGATCCACCTGGGGTGGTAGAAGGTGCCCCCAAAGTCAGGAGAGGGCTCTGCCAGCGGAAATCCCGAAGGAATTCTCAGCTGGACACCGCGGCTCTGGGGATGCAGAGGCTGATCCAGATCTAAGCTCTGCCACCTAAAGACACCCGGGGTGGTGGCACTGGTGGCCCGTGGTGACCACTCGGGGTCAACGCCCGACCTTGTGCCCCGGGAGTGTGGGAAAGTGCCCGGCCGGACCTCGGCCCCTCCCGGCCGTGCCAGCGGGGTGCTGAGTCAGCAGGGAGATGCCCACGGCCCCCCGGTGCCCCCCCGGCTG